AGATAAGGTCTTCTTAACTGCCAGTTACAAACCACCTACAAGCTGTTCTGCATTTTCCAGACAGGAGACCTGTAAACAAGATTTTTTTTTCTAGAGATAGGGATTAGCTATGCATCCCACACTTGCCTCAATCCTCCTGCCTCAGCCTCCCAAATGCTACAATTAGAGGTATGAGCCACCATGAACAGCTACAGATCTTTATCTTTATACACTCAGGATTTTTGGAAAGTTTACTGTTTTTCATAACTGGAAATTTTGCTTTTCATAACTGGAAAATTTTTTTGAGCTAAAACAAAATATACCATTGTTGCTGAGCATGGTGGCATGAGCCTTTAGTCTTTAGCCTTAACCCAGAGGAAGGGGGTTCTCTGTGAATTCAAGGCCAGCCTGGTCTACATAGTGAGTTCCAGGCCAGCTGGGGCTACAGGGAGACCGTTTCAAAAAGACATAAAAAGAAAAAAGGAAAAAAAAAAAGACCAAAAAAATATATAGAGAGATGTTATATTTTAAAATTTTCTTATAGACAGCATCTTCCTATGTAACCACAGCAGACCTGGAACTTAGGAATTGAGCTCTAGGTGATTGCATGGCCTCAACTTCCCAACTGCTAGGATTACAGGCATAAATCACTATGCCTGGCTATTATGAGAATTTGAAACTGCAATTTAGACTTCAGTAGAGTCACAATGCTTACAACCATCTCCACTAATTCAAGAACATTTTCATCACTCTAAAAGGAAACTACATACCAATTCCTTCCTCTCTTCCAGTTCCAACAGCCACCTCTATGGATTTGCCTGTTTGGACATTTCCTAAACTGGACATATGCATTATAAGGATGTCTATGAGCAGCTTCCTTCACTAAGCATGCTTTCAATGTTCCTTCATGTTGGGGCATGTGTCAATGGACACAATGCCTAGCACGTCTTAGACCAGGATTCAAACTTATAAAAATTAAGGACATTGCTGGATGTGGTGGTACACGCCTTTAATCCCAACACTCGGGAGGCAGAGGCAGGCGAATCTTTGTGAGTTCGAGGCCAGCCTAGTCTACATAGTTAGTTTCAGTACAGCTGAGGCTACAGGGAGACCCTGTCTCAAAAAGAAAAAAAAAAAAAAAAAATTAAGGACATCTAAGTATGGTGGATACAGGCTTTTAATCCCAGCACTCAAGAAGCTGAGATAAGAGGATCATGAAATTGTTGGGGGCTTTTTATTTGGGGGGGGGCAGGGGCAGAGGCATTTTGTTTTTTTTCAGACAGGGTCTCCCTGTAGCCTCAGCTGGCCTAGAAGCACTATGTAGACCAGGCTGGCCCTGAACTCAGAGATCTGCCTGCCTCTGCCTCCCAAGTGCTGGGACCAAAGGCTGCACTACCACACCCAGCTTGGTTCTAAATTTTTTAAGTATTTTATTTTATGTGGTTTGCTTGTATGTTAAGTGCACCACAGGCATGTGGCACCCAGAGAGGCCAGAAGAGGGTGTCAGGATTCCCCTAGAACTGAATTTAGGGACCACTGTTATCCTCAGAGTAACAACCAGTACTCTACCAAGCCATCTCTCCAACCCTTTTAATTTTTAAAAATCTATTTATGCCGGGCATAGTGGCGCATGCCTTTAATCCCAGCACTCGGGAAGCAGAAGCAAGCAGATCTCCGTGAGTTCAAAGCCAGCCTGGTCTACATAGTGAGTTCCAGGACAGCTGTGGCTACAGGGAGACCCTGTCTCAAAAAGACCAAAAAAAAAAAAAAAAAAAAAAAAAATCTATTTATTTGAGGGGCTGAAGAGATGGCTCAGTGGTTAGGAGCACTAGCTGCTTGTGCAGAGGAACCAGGTTCAATCCCCCACACCCACATGGCAGCTAAAAACCATCTGTAACTCCAGTTCCAGGGGAATCCTACACCCTATTCTGACCTCCATGAGGTCAGACACAGGTGCACTTACATACATGCAGGCAATACATTCATACACATAAAATAAAAATAATAAATATATTGAGTCGGGCATGGTGGCGTATGCCTTTAGTCCCAGCACTCGGGAGGCAGAGGCAAGCGTATCTCTGTGAGTTCAAGGGCAGCCTGGTCTACACAGAGTTCCAGGAGCTACAAGGAGACCCTATCTCAAAAAGACCAAATAAAAAAAATAGTAATAATAAATATAAAAAAATGTATTTAGGCCGGGTGTGGTGGCGCATGCCTTTAATCCCAGCACTTAGGAGGCAGAGGCAGGTGATCTCTGTGAGTTCAAGGGCAGCCTGGTCTACACAGTGAGTTCTAGGACAGCTGGGGCTACAGGGAGACCCTGTCTCAAAAAGACAAAAACTAAATAAAAATAAATAAATAGCCAGGCATGGTGGAACATGCCTTTAATCCCAGCACTCGAGAGGCAGAGGCAAGCGGATCTCTGTGAGTTCAAGGCCAGCCTGGTCTACATATTGAGTCCAGGACAGCTGGGGCTACAGGGAGACCCTGTCTCCCAAAAAATAAATAAATAAATAACCAACAAAAAATAAATATATACATACATACGGGGCTGGAGAGATGGCTCAGTGGTCCAGAGTGCTGACTGCTCTTGCAGAAGACCTGGATTCAATTCCTAGCACACACATGCCAGCTACAAACCATCCTTAACTCCAGTTCCAGGGGAATCCAAAACCCTCTTCTGACCTCCAAGGCATTGCACGACTCAAGTGCACTCACATACATGCAAGCAATACACTCATACACATAAAATAAAAATAATAAATTTTTTAAAAATTTATTTATAAAACCAAACCTGATGACCTTTGATCTGGGACCCCACATGGTCAAAGAAGAGGACATACTCCCAAAAGTTGTCCTCTGACATTCCTAGCCCCCCAACACAATAAATAAAAGACTAAATAAATAAATAAATAAATAGGGGCTGGAGAGATGGCTCAGTGGTTAAGAGCACTGGCTGCTCTTGCAAAGGACCCAGGTTTGATTCCCAGCACCCATATGGTGGCTAACAACCATCCGTAACTCTGGTTCCAGGGGATTCTGACCTCCACAGGCATCATACGACAACGGTGCACTTACACACATGCAGGCAATACATACACTCATACACATAAAATAAAAAATCATAGAATAAATAAATAAGGGGGATGGAGAGATAGCTCAGCAGTTAAGAACACTGACTGCAGGGGCTGGAGAGCTGGCTCAGCAATTAAGAACACTGGTTGTTCTTGCAGAAGACCCGGGTTCGAATTCCAGCACCCACATGGCAGCTGACAACTGTCAATAACTCTAGTCCCAGGGGATCCAACAGCCTCTTCTGACATCCTCTGGCATTGCACAACACGGGTGCACTTACCTACATGCAGGCAATACATGCATACACATAAAATAAAAATAATAAATAATGCCAGGCATGGTGGCACACGCCTGTAGTCCCAGCACCTGGGAAGCAGAGGCAGGCGGATCTCTGTGAGTTCAAGGCCAACCTGGTCTACATAGTGAGTTCCAGGACAGCTGGGGCTTACAGGGAGACCCTGCTTCAAAAAAAGACAATAAATAAATAAATAAATAAATAAATAAATTTTTTTAAAAAAATGAAGACTGACTGCTTTTGCAGAGGACCTGGGTTTGGTTCCCAGCACCTACAAGGCAGCTAACAACCATGCGTAACTCCAGTTCCACAAGATCTAACAGCCTTTTCTGACCTCAGTGGGCATTTCGCAACATGGGTGCACTTACATACATGCAGCAATACACTCATACACATAAAATAAAAATAAATAAAATGTTTAATAAATGGATAGGACTTGAGGTGCAGCTCTGGTACTATGTCTGGCAAGCTGAGACCCTAGGGTAAATCTCCAGAACCAAAATATTTTAATGGACGAAATAGTCACAAATCTGCTGGGCATGGTTGTGCACACCTTTAATCCCAGCATTTGGGAGGCAAAGGCAGGCGAATCTCTCTTGAGTTGAAGGCCAGTCTGGTCTACACACTGAGTTGCAGGCCAGATGGGGCTACAAGGAGACCCTGGCTCAAAAAAAAAAAGTCACATCATCAGTATCATATTCCTAACACTTGTGAATATGAAGATTTCCAGACTATATCCTGACTCTCTAAGAGTACTGAGGAAGGACATATATATATGTCACAGGTCTGCAACAGCAGCCCTGTGCAGATGGCCACCAGCAACCCATCTCCCACAGAACCCAGTGGCAGACAAACCCAGCCTTCCTTGCACTTCACTCTGGGCTAGCCAACACACAGGCTGCTCACGTACTCTCAAGATTTCCGCTGTGATGATAAACTCCGTCTGTTTGCCTTCTGCACTCCTGGGATTTGGCCTTGACGTTCCCAGTCCCAACAGGGTCTTGAACTTCTCCTTCAAGCCTGAGTCTTTGCTTGCTGGCTTGGCCATGGTGGGCAGGGCCGTACTAGAGGACTAGAAGAAACTGGAATTGGAGACACCTGAGGAAGGGCTCCTACCACCTGTTCTCGCTGCGGACTTCCAGTTGTGTGGACCCTAAGTCTAAAATAGGCATAACCCGTACCCCAACAACCCTTGGGGAACAACTCAACCCAAGCCATTCGGACCCAGCCACACTTAAGCCCAGGCGACGTAGGCCTCGTCTAGCGACGTAGCCGACCGCCGTGGGGTGCACGGAACCCCGACGTTTGCGGCTAGTCTGGAGGAGGAGCTGTCGCGAGGTCGACAGAAGCAGGGGTCCACTCACACCGGCCATCATTTAAAACCTAGGAGTGCTCGGAGGGCCGGGACTAGGCTGCAGAGGTCGCAGCCGAGGCTTGGACGCTGCGGGGCCCGCTTCCCGCCGCCACATCGCGACGAGGCCACAATGCCATCCGGACAGGCACCAGCTGAGCCTCGCAAAACACTCACCCCGCGCACGCCCACGGCGCGCGGGTCCTCCGGCAGTCTAGAAGGTAGCGCATCCACAGCCCCAGAGCCGCTGCCGGAAGCGCAACCTGCACTTCCGGGGGCGAGGCTGCGCCAGCTGAGCTCTCCGGGAATTGTAGTTCTGAGCGTGCGTTGAGCAAGTGGCGGAGCTACGGGGGCTGCAGGGAAATATAGTCTACAGCCCCAGGCATGAACGCGCCGTGGCGGATGATGACTCGAAGACGGAGCCAAGCTGCTGGGATCGCGTCGCAGGGGTGTGGGGAGGAGCTCGCGCCGCCTCCGGGCCCCGAGGCGGCTGCAGGTAGCGCGGAGCCTGGTAGGGTACGGGAGGAAAGGCGGAAGATGGGAGCTTGGCTTTAGGCTGGGGTCCTGGGTCCCACGTGTGACACTGAGACACCACCCTGGCCTTTTCCGAGAGCTGGGACCCGCTAGGTCTGCTGAGGACCGTAAGGCTGTGTTCTAGGCATGTCCATACGTACACCCTTGTCGCCAGCGAAAAATTTTACGCCCACCAGCCTGACTTTGGGACATTTGAGTTGTCCCAAGCTGACAGTAGCCCTGTCCTCAGAGCTGGCCTCCCTCGCATCTCAGCGAGGCTGTGTGCCAAGAACAGGACCAACCAGAAGTCTTCTCCTGCTGGAAGGTGGCTCTTAGTGAAAACAGGATAAGGGCATGGCACTCATTTTATTTGTTTTGCAGCCATTAAGGACCTACTCTGCACCAAGCAGTGGTACTCAGAGAGCAATTATCAGGGCCCCTCCAGGTCTCTAGCTGGGACTTCTGCAGAACTGGCCACAGCAGGAGTGCCATAGGTACCAGTAGGCCCAAGAGTGGTTCAGATGTGGAAACCCACTGGGATGCAGGCTGAGGCATGGTAGGGAGAGGGAGTACAACTGAGAGAAGACAGGTGTTGATGCCTGTTAGGGTAGCTTTGATGTTAGGAGAGTTTGGAGTTCATCCTGAGAGCAAGGAATTCTGAAAGGGGAGTGGCACAGTCCAATTTGGTATTGGGATGTTCTCTGCGATGCAACTCAGAGGACGTGGGTTGGGGGGGCATAGTGACAGAAGCTGTTACTAGTGTCCAGGTGTGCTAACAGGCACTTTGTAAAACAGCCATGGCCTGCTGTGCCTAGAGCAGAGCATCCTACATGCACACACACACCATGGTAGATGACGAACAGTTGCATAAATGAGGGAGAGGTGAGTTGGTGGGTAGGCAGGACCCTTACCCTACCCTCACCTGAAGCCCCCACTCTAAAGACTGAGTGGCACTTTTTACAGAAGGAAGGAAAAGCCACAGGCCTGTGAAACATCCACGGAAGGCACCAAAACTACGTGTGGCCTATGAGGTTTCTAATGATGCAAAAGATAAGGGAGCTGAGCGCCTCAAGGTGCCAATCTGGGAACCACAGAACTGGCAGCAGCAGCTGGCCAACATCCGCACCATGAGGAGCAGGAAGGATGCACCTGTGGACCTGCTAGGAGCTGAGCACTGCTATGACGCTAGCGCCCCCCCAAAGGTAGTCAGAGGCTCCATCTACCCAGGGGATTCCCTGTCCCTCCAAACAAGCAAGATGCTTGTTCTGTCTCAGGTCTCTAGCAGAAAACAGAATAAGACCTAGAAGTTCTTGGGTGACACCTTTTCCTGCAGGCTGCAGCTGAAAGGATGCATCCCTGGTGCCTCAGAGCACTGGACAATGTCACCTGTTTCATTGTAGCAACTGTGCATGTCAAGGGTGTCTATGGCTTGAGGTTTCATGCTGTGATTTCTGCTGGGCACAGTGCTTGCATTTGGGAGCATTCAATATGTGAGAGAGGGAGAGTTCCTTACATTGCACTGGCTCCTTAGACCAACTTTAGCTGTACCTGACTGCCTCCACATCTAATTCCAGGTGACTTGAGTACTTCTGTTCTTGAGCCTTGTCTATAAAATTGGTAGTGTTTTTCTGTCATTCCAAGCAATGACAGTAACAGTAGTAGCCAGTGGCTGTCTAGTATTGGCACTACTGAGTATGATTCCAAGTAATTCATTGGAGCTTCACATTGATCTTTAGAGACATATAGCCCATGTTAGATGTGACGAGACAGCCCCCCACACCCCACTAACGGTGATGGATAAGAAGTCCAGGGTAGCCGGGCGCGGTGGTGCACACCTGTAATCCCAGCACTTGGGAGGCAGAGGCAGGTGGATCTTTGTGAGTTCAAGGCCAGCCTGGTCTACATAGTGAGTTCCAGGACAGCTGGGGCTACAGGGAAACCCTGTCTCAAAAAGACCAA